TGATTTCAATCCTCATTGGACGCTCCAGTTGGATGTTTATGCCACATCTAAGCTACACATAGTAAATTACTATATGCATGTGTCTAGGTCTCTTTGTCATGGTGTAATGGTTAACAAGATTATTTTGCTAGATCAATTATGATTGAGTATTGAGTTTGACCCTTACTGCATTATCCATACTTGCAATCTTATAGTAAATCTTAGTCATACTTAGTAAACCACTATATCCATGTAGTTTTTTACCTGAACTCACATGAGTCTACTAAATATTGTTGTCAGGGAAATGTGCCAGAGGCATCAAATCAGTGCCAGATTTAGGCCTTAAGAGACCCCTAGGCTAATAGAGTTTGAGGGTTCCTTTATCACATATGTTTCCCTCCCACCACCATGTTGACATGTATTTTTAGATGATGCTTTTTTATGTAAAACATTAAACACTTCAACTGGTGGGTTGGGGGTGGGGGTGGGTGTGGCTTGCAAATACTCTAAATTGTTTCAAATTGTTCAAAGGAGCCCCATTAAATCTGAAAATAAACAAATCTTTTCTGTCCTTCTTTCTTTATTTTTTTTATCAGGGCCCCTTTAGTCTTGGAACCCCTGGATTGCAGCCCATAAAACTGGTACTGTATAAAATGATAAGACTTTCCATTCCTGCAACAAGATATACTGGATTTATTTTTCTTACAATAACTTTCTTTGCTTTTATTTTATTTTTTCAAGTCACTATATTTTAATTTTCATTTTAACATTTTACTTTGTACAAATCTCAAATTAACTACAGTGTTTCTAAGTAGCAAGGTTGCCATAGTCACACTATTTTCCTTTGTTTTTCAGCTATTCTGATGATGTCCTTACTGACAGAAACATTGGCAATAGAATAAAATTAAACAACCAAGTGGTTTTCACATATTCCATCTTACAACTTCTCTGTGCCATGTCCCTTCAGGACGTTGGCAATCATGGCTCTCCACAATGGCTCTTGTAGCTCTTAATAAGTTTTATCATTTGGTATCTCTCCTGATCCCTGTTCTGCCATCCATTTACTCAGGCTCACTAGTTAGGTTATGCATTGCTTTCCTATTTACCTCTTGCTTTCAATCTGTCCTGTGAGTACCAGATTCTCCAAGACCTCTTTCCTCATTATGTGCCCTAGAAATTTCAGCTGTCTCTTAAGTGAATAGACACAACAAAGTTACAAGATACAACATCTGATTTTGGTATTGTTTTCTACATACAAGAGTTGACTGAAAAGTTCATAGACTGACCAAGATATAACTCTAAGTAGACACACCAGTTGGTAGACTAAAAGATATGCAAATGTACCAGAATACAAAAGCTGGTTGTCCAGCTGTTATATTGCATTTATATCTTGGTCAGCCTATGAACTTTTCAGCCAACCTCTGTACATAACTAGAAGAACAAGATAAAAATATATGCAACATTCCTTGGTTCCACCAGTTATTCATTTTGAAGTAATGGAATAACCTGTCACCCCCATGAGTGATTACACTATAGGTAGTAACTATCTATAAGTATCTGTAAGTCAACAGACTATGGAGTCTAGCTGCGATCTGTTCCAGCTAGATGGGTAACCTCTCTGCTTCTGAGCAGAGGAACCCAGACAAGGATCAGCCGAAGGACAGAGTCTCATTCAGGGAGGTTGACCAACCCGATCCCATTATGCGGGTTCTACAGCCATTTTTTGGCTGATCCTATGGGCTCAGAGAACCCATGTTAAACCCGACCTTGTGCCACATGCAAACCTCATGGTAGGGTGGCTAAATATACTAGCTGTGATCTGTTAATCAGCTCTTAGCTGTTGTCGGACTCTCTGCCTTCAAGCAGAGAGGAATTCGGATTAGGCTATGCCAAAGGGCAGAGTCTTGTCCAGGGAGGTAGACAGACCCAGTCCTGTTTATGCTGGGTGTACGGGGAATTTTTGGCTGAACACTACATTAAATTTGGCCTTGTACCACATGTGACTGTGTGGGGCAGTTGCTAGATAGCATATAGCTGGTATCTGTTGAGTACAACTCAAACTTATGCGAGAACTACCGACCTTCCAATAGTAGCACTCACTACTGGATTGACTTGCGATTACCTTGTGCATAACTGTTACCTTTATTCTTATTGTACTGGTTTTTTACAATAAATCTTTCCTTATTTTATCCACCTTGTTTTTCAAGTATATATTCCTATTAGCACAGAATATAACACTTTTACAAATAAGATCTGCCATACGATGTACACAAAATCAACTCATTTTCATTCATTTCATAACACCTTGGTAAGGAAGAAATTTCACTTAACTTCTTTCCCTGAACTGTTGTGAAACCAACTCATGAATAGACTCTTTCCTTATCACTACAATCCTAAATTACATCTCTTTCTGATTCACTCTACATGGCAGCCGGACATGAACAAAAGAGAGTAAAACACAAAATAAAAAAGTCGTCTTCCATGCAGTGGCTCTGAGCATAACATCCAGTCCACAAAACAAATCCACACAAAAATCTAAAATGCAATAGCCAAGCATGAACATTCCTGCTAAAAAAAAAAGATGTGCCTGGGAGCCTGCACCTGTTAGACCACAGATATAAAACCAGCACTCCTTATTGACAGCAGACAATAGCAGACCATTATTGATTCTCTCGTCACTATCATGATCCCATTTTTGTGTGATCTTCCATTCAACCAGAATCCAACAGAGACATTTTGCTCAATCAAGCTTCACTAATCCACTCCAGGCCTTTCTCATCCTCACTACCATGAACTACAGTCCTCTCTCATCACTACCATCACAACCCTGTTGATCACCTTTGATCCTTACCCTGAATCCACCCTGCCAACAACAGAGTTCAGCTTAAACACCTTGGTCTCATCACATGACTGCCAGCCAATGAAACATTTACATTACACTGGTGTCAATTTCAACCATGAAGAAAAACATATATCAACCTCACCAACGACACTCTACTCAACTTCACTATATATTTGACACCAATAGCAACCTTGGCCAACCAACCCAACAAATCAGTCAACTACCTCCCTACTGACAACACCCTTACACCTAATCCCTTTCCTTAGCAATGGCAACTAAAGAATCACATATTAACAATTTTTGCCACCTTTCACACACAACTTTATATATATTCTTGAAATTGAAACAACATTGTTGAACTTTTAATCCTTGTAACCAAACGATCATTATAACATACATATCCTCATAATGTGCACTACTTACTCATTCCTTGTACACCCTTACAACAATGTCATTTAGTAACCCTTTACCTTGAGTACTTTGTAATAGAACAACAGTATTAAAAAAAAAATGTTGGCTCCCTTGTCCATTAGACAATATTAAAACATAAAGTCAGAAAATGGCCCTGAAAAATATCAGTTATCAGTATTTCATAAACAAACAAGGCAGTGTGGCCAATTTTATCAATATTTTCATGTTTGTTATCTACAGAATATTATCATCTTTAAACATATAATGTTATGATAACACTAATTACTGAGATACTAAAATCAACCACACTTTCTTTTTTGATGACCTAATATTGATTTGCTTTCAAATGTGTTTGTTGGAGTTATTATATAGCAAAGAATATAACTAAATCATGATTATAAATACAAATAAAACAAAAAACTATATAAATAAAATTGTTTAAGCAAATTAATTATTTTATCAAAATAAATAAAACAATTCCAGCAAATGCCAATATTATGCAACAGTTTTTTCTCTCAAGGGAGATAACACCGCGTGGCAAAAATATAAGCAGATAGTTAATGAGAAAATACATGGCTATTATTGGGAAGAAATTTTGACAGATATTGATTAATAAAATATAAAATTAAAAATAACAACAATACAAGTAATATTGACAAACAGATTTAAAATAGGTTTATTTTTTAAAGAAATAAATTTTGCTTGCAAGCAGAAAAAATTCATAAAATTGCATTTTTGAATTTATCTATACAGCTTTAGAATGATATCAAAATCTGCAAAACAAATTTTATCCTTCAATAATCAGTTGTGCTTAGTGTAATTTGTAACATATATAAATATAGGTAAAAAAAACAAATGTTGATAAAATAGCAAGGAGCCCTCAATCAGGCTTGGCTTCCCTGGTCGGGTAGTACATGCTAGCCCTGTGTTTATACAAATATAGCAGTTATTCTGGTATGGTGATAAATTACCGAATTTAAGATTGTGATCAGAGTATTGTATTGATTTTAGTTAAAAAATGTTTGTTTCAAGATATTGTGTAAACATGTTTTTATTTGTTAATTTGCTGGAAATAAAAACCAACATCTTTTGTTTGCATTAGGTTTTTTTTTTTCATCCAAAATTGTTTTTTTGGGGGAATGGGTTAAATGCAACATTACTGTTTTGTGCCCCACCAGACATCTGCCTTTCTCTTTGATCTGAAACTAATTTGATACTAAGTCGCAATAGGTGAAAATAACTTTTTTAAAGATACAACTAGGAACCTTGACAACACAAACTTCATATACCCACTTAGTGAAAATAGGACACAATATTATAGTGGAATTTCAGAAAAATATGAAAACTGAGGTATATTAGATGGGGGAGCTGCATCAAAGAATGAGAGGAGGTACAAGGCCCTTGCACCAGCCCTACATACACATTTTATTCACTAAACATAACAATTATTATGAGACAGAGGTAAGAATTTGTATTTTTTTCACTTATAAATTATGGGATACCCAAAACATTTTCTTCAATTTTCTTTTGTCAAGTAATGTTTTCTTCTTTTTACAACTTTGATGTCATTTGATGCAACTGCTGTTCACATCACTTCTGGTGCAGTATTAGGGTTGCCAATATGGTCTTTCCCAATGATGGGGCCATGGACTGGGTGAACAAATTCCCAATTATGGCACCTGTGGACTCCTTTACAGACGGTTCCCAGCTAGGGGTTCACAAACACACAAAGCTAAATTAAATTGGTTTGGAATTAGGTCATTGAATTTCACTGTGGAAGTGAGAGAGAGAGAATGAAGAGGGGGATTTGGAGAAATAGAGGGGAAATGCAGATGAGGGGTGGTGGAGAGAGAAAGTAATTTTTTTCAAACCAAGAAAGACTATAACAAATAGACAAAAGTTCATAAAAACGTTTTTAAATTTTGCAAGTAATAAATAAAAGTAAACACTAATTCAATGCAGTATAAGAATATTTAAAAAGGAAAAAAAGTCTGTATTTTGTTTTTGCATTGGAACTTAATTTTTAAAAATTAAAACAATTTAAATCTATGCCTGATAAAGGGAATAAAAGTCACAAAACATGAACCAACATTTAGTAAGAAAATATATGTTGTACAATTTTTGTCTAAAATTTTATCGTGTACATCATTCAGCTCAGTAATTTTTTTATATCAAATATAAATACAAAGGCATCAAATTTATATCTTTAAAAAAATAAACAGTGTATTGATAAATATATATTCTTTAACCATTTTAGGCCATCTTTATAAAAAAATTAATAATAAGCAACTTTTAAAAAATGACAGTTACGTATCAAGTTGGCTAAAGTCTGATTTTCTATGGACACGACTTTGTGCTGTATTACATTAACAAATGTAGGTGATTAAAAAAATTTCAAAAGCGGAGTTGCTGCTCTAAGGGAGAAAACTGCGGATGACTTAATGTCTGTTCTGATGTAGGATTCTTTATCATACATTTTGTAACCCTCACAGAAGTATTCAAGCGTATTAAATTTTTGCATACAAACATGAAGTTACTTTTCAAGAGGAATGGCATAAAATTGAAAAATTTGTCGCTGATACACAGAAAAAAAATATAAACTCGAAATTTTTCAGGCGAAGGGAGATAATTCAAACTGGTTTAAAATGATCTATGAACTTGTTAGAAAATTAACAGTTCGATTTTTATTTCGTATTTGACATACAATAAACTCTTTTAAAATTTTAATTTAAAATAGCTCAAATTTAATTTGATGTTATATAATAATAAATAATTTAGAATGTATTATCAGCATTATATATCTATGTGGGTGTATAAATATAATATAAAAATGAATTGTAGGCTCAAACATCAAATTCAATAGCATTTCTTGAGGTTATCCTGCAGAAAAAAATGTTTCTTTTATTAACAAATTTAAGTCACACAAACATTAATGTAAGTACTAAAAATAAATCAGTAAATGAAGAGAAAACAATAGATATAATGAAATTTATACTGTGAAGTTACTCCTATCTGAATGGTAAGTCTAATGGGTTTGATAAAGTCAAATTGGTATTTGATCTTAAAAATGACTAACAATCTGTTGTTAACTGGAGCAAGAAATGACTTGTTAATTTTAACACCTCCAAAATGAGACTTATCTCTTTTAATTGTCTTAGAGAACCTTTTTTGCCTTCCATCAACTAACCTCTAAGAAAATGACTTGTTGCGTCTTCTCGAGCTAATGTTTTCCACTGACATAAATGGAAAGATTAGATTGAATCAATTACTAGGTCTGCTGCTAGAACAGTTGTTCACTGGGTTATGCTAGACAATTTTTCTTGCCAGAATCTAGCTTACACATTTATAAGTCAACCTTTTGTCCATATATTGAATATTGCAGCAACATCTGGTCTGCTTATTCTCCTATGTATTTAAAGATTCTTGATAAAATCCAAAGCAGAATCTGCAATGTTATTGGTCCTACCTGGCATCTTGGCTTCAGTTACATTTCCACTTTTTTATTACATAGCTTTCTTGTGCCTTTCTATAAATATTTTAATGAGAATTGTTCTGATCAGCTTTCCTCTTTGATACCTCAACATTATAAATTTAAGCACAGTACTAAATTAACTGCTAGTCTCATCATTTTAGAGTTGAAATTAATAGATGTAACTGTAATTTCTATGCTATCAGTTTCTTCTTTTGCACTTCTTAATCTTCAAAAATTTAAATGCAACGTCAACCATTATCTTCTGTCTTCTTAATTCCTCTTCTTTTATTGTTCTCTCTCCTTAATAATGTTTTTCCTTTTCTTTTTTTCAATTTTATCTCTAATAGGTCTATTCTATTGGTATTGTTAATGGTAATGGGGAAATTAGACATTCCTAAAGAGGAAACATTCAGCATAAATTTAACAAACAGTTAGTTTTACTGTCAGATGAAATTTATGAAATCTTTTTGTTAAAACAATTTTTCAGAAAATTAAAATTCTCAAGTCCACTAAATTTTATAGCTCTTTCTAATACTGAGTAGATTTTTTCCAAACATTTTGTATTTGGTAGTGTTAAAAATTAGCAGATTGATTATATTATTTTCTATTCTAGTTACATCTGCTACCCATTTTTATTGCTGTTACTGTTAAAAGTTATGTGTTTTTTTTGTTATTTGATAAAGCTCTTCATTAGTGATTTTGTAGTGCCAGTCTATAGTCTGATGTCAGGTTGATTTCTTTAAGATATATAGTCATTTTTAACCAGTATTGAAGTGTTTTTTGAGACCAGGATATTTCTTCTGTTTGGGCTTTGATTGTATTATTATGAGTTTTTGCTTACATTAATACCTGATCACTAACAATTCCTTTTCTCCTGATATTGAATGTACAACATAACCTATAAAAAAATGTATTGAGAATTCATCAAATCAGTACAGCCATCAACAACATAAATATGAATGCTAAAACCTTTTTTAAAGTCATAATGTCATATCATGTGTCCTATAACCCATTATGGTTGTACTGCCACCACATGTACTGCAGCCTTAACAGCAGTGGTGCATCTAGAGCAAGATAGTCTGACAGAGCCCATCTCTCTTCAGGCTGGTTTTGAATTCAGAGTTTTCCTTCAACCAGACTGGCTGAAGGAAGGTAGATTCGTGCCTTTTCTAAGTGCTTTAGTGCAAAGTGAATGAAACAGAATTGACTAGAATTTGAACACAGCTTGCCAATTTCACTTTGTGGATAACTCTTACACTATATGCACCTAGTCCAACCTATTAACTAATTCAGTAATTTCCCCTCCCAAAACTTAATGGATGGTCACAAGTAGCAACAGCAACAGCAGACTTGTCTCCCTTACTTCCAACATGCATTTGCCCAATAAACCAAATATAAGCTGGTTAAAATTTCTCTTTTCTCACTTTAACTTCAGACACTTGGGGAAGCTTTGCCATTTTAACTTCTGATGTCTAGAGAGTCTATGCAGCTTCAACTTCTGTGGACTGTAATTAATTTCAACTGGACTTTTCATTGATCACCACATTTTTATCTTAATTTATCTAGGAGCACAGAGGTTTATAATATGTTTTATCATTTTCTTTAGTAGCCAGGTTGGATGGCAGAGGAATTCCAATTAATGGGAAAAAAATATGGTTCACAATATTAAAAATGGGACAAAACTATTCAAATTCCTATTGGATGTCACATTTTTTTTACCTTTATGTATATATATGTGTGTGTGTGTGTGTGTGTGTGTGTGTGTTACCAATACCTAAACATGACAGCTTCATTATGCATTTAGGTTATTGTATGATAAATTGGAAGACAGTCTCAGTGGTGGTAAAATTATTGAATATCTATATTGTTCATAACTCTGAAGTATTGATGTTGGTGAGGGCCTCAGACTCTGCATATAGAGGCCTACATCAAGTGCCTTGAGGAAATAGTGAGATATTGATGCCCTGGGTCAAGAATGTGGCTGCTGGAAGACCCTATATCTGGCAACAGGACTCTGCACCATGCCACACAAGCAGGAGAACACAGTTATAGCTGTTAGACAATTTCTGCAACCACATCACTCCTTACATCTGGCCACCTAACTCCCCAGACTGCAACCACTTTGATTATTATGTGTGGGGCACAGTTGAGCAAGAGACCAACAAAACTCCTTGTAATACCAAAGATGAATTGAAGTCAAGGATTATGTCAGCATTCAGCAACAAGGAGACCATCCAGAAGAATTGCAGGAGATTCCAATGTCACCTGGAGGCCAGGGTTTAAGCCAATGGGGATTTTATTGCAAAAGTTTATTCTTTAGTATTTCAAGATAGTTTTGAGTAATTTTGGTAATTATATTTGTTAAAATGAGATGCCAGTTTTATTTTCATTTTCGTATAGTTTTGATAACAATTTATATATATATATATATGTGTGTGTGTGTGTGTGAATATTAATATATAAATCAAAAATATATTAAATATATATGTGTGCGTGTATACATATATCTTATATATATATATATATATATATATATATATATATATATATATTATATATTATAATAATGTTAATGGTTTCTCTAACTGGAACATTAGTGAACATAGAATGAGATTTTAGTGGTACAGGTTAAAAGTAATTTTCTTAGTATTTTAGGTTTAATTTTTAATGGGCAGAGATGAATTATATATATTTTTAATAATAATGTCAATGGTTTAACTAACTGAAACCTAAAATACTAATAAAACTACTTTTAACTTGTACTACTGAAGTTCCATTCCATATTCACTAATGTCCCAGTTAAAGAAACCATTGACATTATCATTAAAAATATATATCATAATATATATTATAAATATGTACATATGTATGTATATTTTCAAAATATTTGAAACATACACACAAAAAAGAAAAAAATCAACTTATCTCCAATAACATTAGCATCCCAATTTGCCCATATATTATTTACATCAACCTTAGCATGAGAATAATGAAAAAATATACAGTCAAAAGCCCACTAATAAGTGGACAGCCGCATAAAGTTTATCTGTAAAACTCCAAAAGATAGATAGATAGATATAGATAGATAGATAGAATTTTTTTCTATATGTGGACAATATATCTACATAAGATTTAGTTGTATTAGATTTAATGAGTAAAAAATAAAAGTTAAATTTGTACCATTTATAGTGAATCAAGCTGAAGTCATGTTTAATGAATTTAATGATATCATTTTACTTTTAATTCCTGTAGCCATTAATACAAGAATTAATACATAATTCTGTAAAATCTTCCCTTCCAAAAAGCTTCTTTGACACAGAGTTAATAGAGAAAAGCAGTCATCTGTAACACGGAAATCAGAAGCTATAGTCAAGATAGATGATAGATCAAATAATTGTGGGGAGTGAGAGAGAGAGAGCTAAAAATAAAGAAAACAGATAGGGAGAAGTAACTTGAAAGGAAACATGGCTCTTTTAGAAAGATTAGATTGAAAAAGAGAAAGTGCTTGATAATGAAAGTGAAGGAGGAAAAAAGTGGGTATCAAGAATTAATCAAATCAGTGCAGCTATTGACAAGACAGAGAATGAAAACAATTGCTGGTTGTGCACAGTAGTCAATAAAAGGTTCAACAAGTTGGAGAACAATTACATCTTTTTTTGTTTTGGTAATCATTTCACCCCAAACAAGACGAAAATGCCACTAAGATGCAAGGGGTTATTAGGACTGAAAGAGAATGATAAGACTTTAGGGAAGAGAAAAGACAATAAAAGATCAGGCTTCAGGAAGATAGGTTATTGTAAGTGTAAGAAATATTATGGGATAGTATATTTATTCTGAAAGATAATTTTGTTTACTAAGCATAGATTAGTTTAATACAAGGCCACAAGTATCAAGCACTAAGTTCAGATTGAGTTAAAAAGATAACCATTACAACATAAGGAGGTGTCCTTCAGAGACAGCCATTTTGGAACTGAAGATTGCTTGTAAATGAAAATAAGAGAAACTTTAGGTAGGAATGGCACCAGTAGGGAGACAAAAATTGTGAAAGGGAAAAATCTGATAATATTTTTCTTTTCTTCTTTATATGCTATTGTTGAATGCAATCAGAGATATTTAGGGCTGAAATTTTATAAATTCCTAATTACCTCCTCTCAAGAGCTTTTCCAATTCCACTCTTTCACACATATGGGTACAGACACACACACATTTTTCTGTTGTCATAGCAACTTCCTTTAAGCTTTGTGTGCACAACATTAAATTAAATTAAGACCGTCTGAGGAATTTATTGTTATTTTGCCTTAGATTATGAAGAAAAACCCTTATGACACAAGTCAGAGATTCTTGAGGTTGTGGGGGGGTACTTTTTTTTCTTTTTTTTTTTTTTAATTATTTCACACCAAGCAAGGCAAAAATGCCACTTAGGCATAAGGGGTTACTGGGAGTGAGAAAACTTTAGTGAGGAGAAAGGACAATATAAGAACAGGTTTCATGAAGACAAAAAATTGCAATTGGCATTGCATTTATAATTTAGAAGGTTGTAGGTAGCAGGAGAGCAAGAATCTGGAAGAGTGTTCCAGAGGTGAGAAATGCTAGAAAAAAATCTATTCAAATAGAACTTATGGTTATACATCTAGCTACTTCAACAGTAAAATGATGAGACCTAGTTGCCAATCTAGTAGTACCTTAAATTCATACGGTTGAGGTTCCAAGGAGGAAGACTGATAGAGAGATCTCAACTAGCATAGTACCCATCAAAAATGATGGGATTATTTTATGCAAGGATAAATTATACTTCTGTAAACAAAAACAATTTTTCTGGCAATTTTCTACAAATCTTCATATTTTGTTTTTTTTAATAATGTTTAAATAATAATTCTACCCTGTCAAAAAGGCTTAGAATATGCTTACTGCATCCCCTGCAAAAGGGGTAAGATACTCCATACCATGGCCGACATTTGCTTTTTTCTATCTACCTTTATATACGCTACAAATTAAACTAAGCACAAGTGACTATTAAAGGATGAAAAAATTTTGTAGATTTTGACAGTGTTCTGAGGTCTTTCTTTTGTCCAAATTCATAAATTTGTTTTGCTCATGCTAAGCATAAAATAAACACTGTATCAAATTCACTATTTTTTATCTATAATGTTGAATTTGTTAATATTCTTCAACTTTTTCATGAAAAAATCTTAAGTTGATGTTCAAAATTGCTGCAAAACATTGTTAATTTATTTAAGACAAAACGATCTATTATGACTGTCTCTAATTTGCATTTAGATACATTGTATTTATTTTCAATTTTTCTAATTGAACTGTTCCCCTATATTGCATATGATCCATTATTGTACGTAATTAGGTTACAATTGTTGTTAGTTAAAATATTCATTATTGTTTTTAGGAGTGGAAAGATTTGATCTCTACTGCTATACTGCCAACAGGAGGTATTACATTCATAGGGACCCATGTATATATATATATATATATATATATATATATATATATATATATTACAATGAATCATTCATACAAAAAGTAAATTAGTAAAGTTAATATTTAAGGAAGACCTAATAGAGTTTATATTTTTAAAAACAAGGATCATTAACATTCATCAAGTGGTTAGTAGGTTAATGCATTTTTTAAATTTAGTTAGCGAAGTGAATTTACCATTTTATCTCATTAACTTTATTAATTTACTTTTTGTATGAATGATTCATTGTAATATAAATTAAATTGCACCACGTATTTGATTAAAAAGAACTAACCTGCCGTACAAATTTTCAAGAAAAAAACTGAGACATTGCTCTACTTATTGAACTATTTAGTTTATGCCACATTGACTGATAAACTCCTACAACAAAAAATTCTTAAATTGCCATATTAGTAAAAAACACTCTCACTTAAATTTTCAAAAATTCAACTTTAGCGTTGCAACTACATGCTCCACAATTTTGTAACTGTTATCAATAACATATTTCAGAAAAGCGTATTTTGATTTGCATTATATTTTTTCATCTCAGATGCGACCTGAATTTTACCAAAAAGAAAATAGTTTCCGTGTCTGATAATGACCGGAGAACCTGTTGAAAGTACTTGCATATTTAAGGAAGACCTAATACAGTTTATAATTTCAAAAAACAAGGATCATAACTTTCATCGAGTGGTTAGTGGGTTAATGCATTTTTTAAAATTTACTTAGTGAAGGGATTTCGCCATTTTATATCATTAACTTTACTCATTTACTTTTTGTATGAATGATTCATTGTAACATAAATTAAACTACATCACATATTTTATATATATATATATATATATATATATATATATATATATATATATATATATATATATATAAAACTTAAACACTAATATTCCATTATTAGTGTTTAAGCCTTTTATTATATCCTTACTGTCCTGGACATTGAGTTCTACCTGGATTCTATCCTCTCGGATTTTTTTTTTATTCAAAAAATATACATATGTGTGTATGCACCTGTGTATATATATTTATATATTTTGCATATGTATGTGTATATTTACCACTAATATTATCTATATCTATATATATATATATATATATATATAAGGAGAGAGAGAGAGAGAGTATTAATACAAATATAAAATTTGTCACTTAGCTGTTGTTTTTGGCATCTTGACTAGAGTTTCATAGACAGACGCTCCAGCAACTGCTCCGTCTACTCGTCAGGAGATATTAGCGTCCAGCTAAAATATATATATGTATATTGGCTGGGCACTCATATCTGAGTACGTCTGTCTGTTTGGGCAGCCAGCCAATCCCTGTTGCAGACGCCTGCTCAGACACATTTATGTTTGTTCAACACCCATAGGGCCCACCTGTGGTTTATACCACAAATATGCTGAGCAGACCTTAATTAAAGTTTCTGGGAGAGTGCACATAATCTGGTATGATTGCCAGTTTAAATTCTCAGTCACAATGACTTGTGACTTCATGCTAGCACAACCATTGATGAACAATTCTGTCTAACCAATTTTATTCACACATACACTCACCAACCCTCACACACACACACACACCCACCCATATATATATATATATATATATATATATATATATATATATATATATATATATACATGCAGAGATGATGAAATCCTCTCCATGTTGTCATTCTTAGTAGTCAGTTATTTGACCATGGAAAGAGATTATCAAAGATTTTTGTAAAAGTAAATAGAAATTTTTTGTTCCTGGAACCATGATAATATATTGTGAAATCTGAATTGCTGAATGGGAATTTGAAAGTATTGATGACATAGATAGATAGATAGATAGATAGATAGATAGATAGATAGATAGATAGATAGATATTGAACAGATAGATAGATACTATAGATATTGAACAAGGTTAGATAGCAGATAGATAGAATAGATACATAGATAGATAGATTGATAGATCAATAATCAAGAACAATCTTAGATATAAAAAAAGAAAAGTTCTTTTGCTAAGTCAGATAAGAAATGAGAGCTAAAGATGCAGAGGAGGAAATTAAATAAAATATATTGGTTTCGTCTTTTGATAAAAAAATAAGAATTCATGAGATTTTGGTATATAAGTCAAAGTGACTTGTCCCCGAAACACTTGTCATCAAGAATTTAGCTCATCTTTGAAAAAATAACACCGAGCACATGAATTTTCTGAAACAGATAAACTGTAGAAATTTTATAAGATAAATTACAAAAATTGATTCTAGAAAATATACAAAAATAAATTCTGTGTGTGTGTGTGTGTGTGTGTGTGTTTGTGCTTAGTTTACACATAAAACAAGTTTGCCATGTTTTCTGCAATCTACCTGTACATTTTTACTTATTCTATCAAAACAAAATATGAATAAGAAAGTAGCAGAGAACATTTTTTAAGAAAAAAGATAGAAGGGACAGCATCAAGAGCAAGGGTGGTGGTGTTTTGGGTGGTGGTGGTAAGAGATGAAAGTGGATAGAATAAGAAAAAACATGAATAGCAGTAAAAGGAGGAAGAGGAAAAAAGGAAAGAAGAATGATAAAAAGGAAAGCAAAAAGCAATATAGAATAAAACTATGTTGTAATAGTTGAACAAAAATAAAAGAAGATTCTTTTCTTCTTCTTCTTCTTCTTATTATTATTATTATTATTATCATTATTACTAAAAAATATTAGAAAAAAAATGAATGAAAAGAAGAAAAAGAAAAAACAAAGAAAATATTTGTAATTCTTTTTAAAAGCTTTTAATCTCCAGTTTCTACCATTCTTCTGTTGCTGTTGCAAATGCACACATATACAAATGCACACATGCACAAACACATGTATATGCACACACACACACATAAACACATACACAAGTACACAGACGAATGTAAACATACACCCATCATTGTCCACATACATATTTAAATGCTTATAAAATACTGAAAATAAAATAAAAGCAATATTCCTTTCTTGTAAATGTTTACAAAGAGAGTTTTTGTTCAAATAGAAATATTAAAAGCAACAACTCTATTTGCCCAAACTAGGATGTTACAGACAAATGTAAGTGGGTGCTGAAAATTTCTAGGCTTTTCCCCAAGAACTGTCACATTGTGAAACAGACTCCTATGTGGGCGTTTCCCTGAAAACTTCAATCTTATCCTGTTCTAATCAAGGGTCAGTTGTTATATATCAACCTGATCCTGATAATCTCCTCTTCCTACCACCTTCTGTTCCATTCATATCCCACAACTAATCCATTATTATCATTTTAACTGAATGTGAATGTGAAAGTATTGATAGCATAGATAGATAGATAGATAGATAGATAGATAGATACTGAACATGCTTAGGTTGGTTGATACTGAACATGATAGATAGATAGATAGATAGATAGATAGATAGATAGATAGATAGATAGATAGATAGATAGATAGATATTGAACATGCTTCTCTTCTTACCACCTTCTCTTAACTCATCCATCATTGCCATTCCGACTGTAACCAAAAATGGCATATTGCTGGCACATCTGGGCTGGAGCTGCCCAATCCTCGCATTCCAGCCTTGATAAAACCCTAAGTCATTTACATGGTTTTGTTAAGGAAGACCTATTGTCCAGTAGTCTGCCACTACTCTATTGCCATTTCCATGAGAAATGTTCACACAAATTCCATCCTTTCGCTCCACCAATTCAAACATTTGCAGCTAAGTTTCACCATGCAACATCCAAAGGGTTGAATCACCTTCATTCCCAACGTATTCTATTGATAAGAAGGAGGTTTCATTCAGACAGCTTTATGAAACAGACTCCCATGTGGATGTTTCCTCAAATGCTACAATATTAACCTCTTCAAATCTGGGATCAATTGTTACATATCCTCCATATCCATATACTCTTCACTTCCTTCTCCCTACTCTTACATTCATATCACACTGCTCATTCAGGAACCCTCTACCTTGACTGGCTCTCGAGTCTTATATTGGTGATATTCAATAAAAAAAACTCTTCTGCAAAAACTCTGATGTCTGGTCAGATTTTAGAAAATAGGTCAAGCTAAGAACATTTCAGCACCCTCTGTATGTTTACACTGCTTCATATATTTTTTGGACCATAACAAATTTATTTTATCAGATGAATGATATAGGAATTTTAAAATATTCTTTAAATGAGTTTTTATTTTTTATATTTTTTTTTACTTATTGCTGTTATTGAATCCATTACTAGATCAGCTGCTAGAAAAGTTGGTTCACTGTGTCATGCTAGACATTTTTCTCTCCAGAATCTAGAATATAGCTGCCACATATGGTCCAGTGCTCCTGCTATATATTTAGAGATTCTTGATAATATCCAAAGAAGAATCAGCAATATTATTAGTCCTGACCTAGTGTCTTGGCTGTAGTCATTTTCCCACCGCTATAAACTTGCTTTCCTGTGCTTTTTCTATAAATAGTTTCATGGTAATTGTTTAGATGAACTCTTCTCCATAGTATTATTTTATTTGGTTTCTTGTAAATAGTTTTGTTTTCATATTGTAAATACTCATAGGGGCTAGTTTTTAAATTGTTATTTTATTCCTCTCCCGCAACAGACAATGAATTGTACATATGGGGACTAGTTAGGATTTTCATAGAGACATTGAGGTATTATGGTGAATGTTGTAAGAATGGTAAGTAAGAATGCATTTTTTGGTGTAAGGAATATTGTGGTATGCTTTTATCATGGCAAGCTAAATTTAATGTTAAGTTTAATGTTTTTCCCCATTCCTCATTTTGGCCTTGTGCCACATTTCTGTATATAATGCAGAATAAACATCAATCTTTGCTATGGTACCTAGACTTTATAAATTTAAGTGCAGTACTAGATTGGCAACAAGGTCTCATCAATTTACAGTTGAATTGGCTAAATGTAACTGTAACCTCTTGATAACAGTTTCTTTTCTCACACTTCTCACTTGTGGAATTCTCTTCCAGCTATATGCTTTCTAGCCAACCTTGATCTCCAAAAATTGAAATGCAATGTCAATTATTATCTACTGTTTTCCTGATTACACTTCTTTTGTTCTCACTCCTTAGTAATGTTTCTGTTTTCTAATTCTTCCACACCTAGTAACCCTTTGTGTCTTAGTGGCTTTACTGCCTTAAAAAATATTTTATCAAATGAAAAGTAAAAATGAATGTTAAAAATGTTTACATGACATGAACACCAGTCTAATTCATTGCATAGTTTTTGGGTACCAAAAAGCTAAGCAAAGTATTAAGAAACACAAACATTTTTTACTAGAAACAAAGAATGCTGGACTGCTATGAAATATCAATCCTCCTATATAGCCATGAATGCTGAACAGTTTTCTAACAGATGAAGAGAGGACTTCAGGCAACAGATATGTGGTTCTACAGAGGGATGTTGAGAATATCATGAGCAAAGCATGTGCCCAACAAGGAAGTTTTAAAGAAAACTGAAACAAAAAAGGTGCTTATACTTAGAATCAGAAAGAGAGTGTTGAAATTTCTAGGATGCATAATGAGAAAAGAGGACTTGGAAAATTTGACACCCACAGGACATCCCACTTTCCATTCCAATAACCACTGCACTACATGCACATATCAATGTTAAAAGATATAAAGGTGATATTTAAATTCTAAAGCTCTAAATGATAATTATATATAATTGAACAATCGCCTTTTGTTTTTCAAAATTTAGATGTAGTAAAGTATCCTTAAAAACAGTAGATAAATAACTTACTGTTTCTTTTCTTGAAAAAGAAACTACCAGTAGTCCAGATCTTAGAAAAAAAAAATTATACATGCAAAAGTCTCCCTCTGAAATAAGAGTAAAATTCTTTTCTTTCTTCTTTTATGTGCTGTGTCCCTTCAGGATGTGGTTGATCATAGCTCTCCATAACTTCCTATCCTTTGTAGTTCTTGGCAATTATTTTTTTATTATTATTATCCTTCAATTCTTTGTTTTGTCATCTATTTACAAAATCTTGTTAGGTAGTTTCTTGCCATTTTCCTCTGCCCCACTTGCCTTCAATATTTTCTGTGAGTGTCAAAATCTCCATGCCTTCTTTCCTCATTATGTGTCCCAGAAATTTCAAATATCTCTCTCTAATTATAAGCATTGTTTTTTGTTTCTATTTTCCTTAAAACTCCCTTATTGGCTGCAAGTTCTGTATTCTTAACATCCTTCTCTCTAGAGGAAATTTCCCAGCATTCCCTGCTATATAGAAGGATTGATATTATTTGATATTTTTTCTTTGTAACAAAATTTTCGTGTGTCTTAATATTTTGATTAGCTTTTGGAAGGGAGCAAAATTATAAGTAGTAAAATATATAAATGATAATTCTCTGGTATTTAGTAAATGTTTTCTCATCTTGTGTATGACAATAAACTACATCTGACAGCAAGGCCTCTGATCAGGTTTTGAGGACTGTGGAACCACCTCTTAAATGCTGTTGTTTCCAGGGCCACCCTGACCCAGGGTGGTAGCACCTATTAGGGTCCCAGTTATGGGCAAATAGTTAACCTTCAAACTGGTGTCAAAACACTATGAAAGGATAAAAATAGATCTTTATAGTAAAATACCAACAATACATTTAAAAAATATATATTACCAGCAATACATTTTTGAAAAAAAATTACCAGCAATACATTTGACTCTTGACAAAACCCTCTTTACAAAAATATGTTTGGAGTTTTAAAAGGTGTCATTTTTTGGGTGTTTCTGGTGATTTTGTTCAAACTCCAGATCCGTGTTGAATTCTTCTTGTTGCCGAAATAGAAGGTACAAAGTGAAGAAGGAGGCAGAGAAACTGGAAATGGATTTAGGAACTTTATTACAGAGTAACAACAGTTTGTTGAAGGGAAATGCCTTCCCAAGCAAAAGACACATGTCTACCCATTGAAAGTTCCCAGAAAAAGAGAACAATTCTTCTCATTTGTCTTTGGTACCAAGAAGCCCCTCTTTATTCACGCATGCGCCATTTGTTCTTCCTGTCAGGGAGCATCCTGGGAGATTCTTCTTTTTTTCATTTTTTTGTATTTCTTTTATCATATTGTGTTTTTTTTTAATTTTTTTATTTTATCAGTTATACAATCCCCACATATGTCAATGAAACCTGATCTACAAACTGATTTCTTTCAAAGAATACATATTCTATTCATATAAACCTATCCTAAAAAATCTTGTCAGTATTAAATAACCCATTGAGGTGTTGATATGCCATAAAATAAAATAAACCAAACATAAACATTTCTATGTTTAAATGATTGAATTTCTGTGATTTTCTAATTTATTACTGTGGTCATTTACTAAGCGTTCATATTTGTGTAAAGAATATGAAAATATAATTTTATTAATTGTGTATTGAATTACTCTTCTTCCCACTCCAGTCATGAAAATCTTGAATAATTTCTAAGAAGAAGTAATTAAAGTGATCAATTGATTTTTATTTTTCATCAGAAAAGAACTTTACTCAAAGACAAATGATTTCTTAAGTTCTAAAGTAGGTTCATATGTAGAGTTTTTGTTAACCTGATTACTTTCACTTCTGAAATGTATGTTTATAGTTATATTTAGGTCCAAGCTTATTCAGCAACAATTAATTATCATATACCTCCTAACTAATTAATTTAAAACTTAATTAATATTTAATGACTACTGATAACTAATCGTCAGTAATAACACCCAACATTTTTGAAACAATTATCTGGCAAACAGTTTTTTTTGCTTGAGATTCTTTTTGTTTGAGATAATTTTAATTGTCTGAGATATTTTCTTATTTGCCTCAGCTATTTTTATTTAAGATTTTTTATTTCATGAGATTTTTTGTGTGAGAAATATTTATTTTATTACTTAAATGTTACTTTTAGTGGATACCCATATTTGAGTAGATGCTCCATTTATTTATTAAACAAAATATTCATTTATTTTCATCTGCCAACTTGAATATTCTAGAAATCTTATTAAAGAAAAATATGCCCTCTCTTGCAGGATTTGAACTTGTGTTCCACTTGGTAGGAGAAATTATTGTTAGATCCAACATGCTTTAGACTGTTTCAGCCATGGAGTGAATTGATGTTCAAGCAAAGTTGAATAGCACCTAATAAACTCAAATCTTCCTCCGACTCTCAAAATAGTCATATCTGCTCAGTTTCATATCCTAAAGTAAACAAAGCAATTCCTAAAGAAGTGGTGGATTTTTTAAATCTATTAATCTGATAGATTTCATTACTTAAACTTTATTTTTAGTGGATATGCATATTTGAGTGGCTGCTCTATTTATTTATTAAACAGTATATTTATTTATTTTCATCTACTGGCCTGAATATTTGAGAAATCTTATTAAAGAAAAATATGCGCTCTCCAGCAGGATTTGAACCTGCATCCCCCTTGATAGGAGAAACTATCATTAGATCCAATGCGCTTTAGACTGTCTTCATCACA